AGAGGCACGCCGGGCCCGTAGAGCCCCTAGGTTAGGACCTCATAGACAAAGCCTCCCGGACCTGATATTATGCACTATTAGATGCTTCAGCGCCCTGATGCTCATGATCGGAAATGCTCGGAAAATTCTCACCGTAATGTTAAGGACCAACTCTCCTGGAGTTTTGGGAAATTTTGGCAGTCTTGAATATGTTGAAAATGTCGGAAAGATAGGGGTTCCCAAATTCCCCAAAAGTTCGCCCTAATGTTTTGGAAAATAAGCAAGTCCACTAGGTCTAGCAATTTTGAAAGTTTCGATTTTTTGGAAATTTTGAAATTAAGATATTTTTCTACCACTGTTCCGCTTTCGTTCAAAAATATTTTGTATCATCTATCCTTCTACTCCTACTAAATTGAATGAGTGGAGCGTACTAAGTAAGTAAGTGTAATTACGAAGTTTTAAATTCAGTTCAATTCAAACTTTCCGAACTTTTTGATTTTCTAGCATAAGTTCAACACAAAGGTGATCACAATCGTAATTAACACGTTTACAACCAGTGCTGCTATTGCTATTATTACAACAACAACAACAACTACTACTACTATTACTACTACTACAACTAACACTATTGTTATTTTGGTATTACTAGTGTTCACCAGGTTCATCAAAAAACACCATTATTCCCACCAAGAAGAGTTAAACCTTTTTCAACTGAATGAGATAATTGAACTTAGGTAGGGGTAAAAGTGTTTTCGGGCGAGAGAGATTTGGTGGTTGACACCAATGCGTATATATATATATAACTTATTAACAAATGTAATACTATAAGTTGCCCTATGCATCCAGCCACCACAAAAAACGTGGGCGCTCACGTTGGCCTCGGGTTAAACTGGGCCGAAGTCGGTTTGACCGACCACATTTAACTCTTCAAGAGTAGTAGTAAAGATAAATAAAACCTAATGCATTCAAAGTGATTACAAGAGACGGGTTGTAGATATGAGCATTTAGTTAAATAAGTAGTAAAAGATGATGAATAATAGCAATAATCATAATCATAATGATGATACTAATAACAAGAGCAATAGTAACAAAATTTACATCGTTCTAATACACTCAAGAGTTTTTAAATACAACAAGAGTAGTAGAAATGAGTGTTTATGTAATAGATCATCAAAGTATCAGTACCAAAAGAGTCAAAAGATTAGTAGTAAATGTCAAGAGCGAATCACAATTATAGTTCAAGTAAAACTCTTTTGTCTAGATGGACTCATATCACTTCTGGATGACTGCGTTTACTGCATAGTATTATTCTTAAATAGAAAAATAAAACTACACCATTAACTCTAAACCCCAAACCTGAACCTCAAAACCATAAAACCTGCACTTTATAACAAACGAGCAGTTCAACTGTGTTTTTGCTTAACGGTTGAATGTCACATCAGCCGATCTCAGCGGAGTCGCCTGCCAGGAGTACACTATGGCTATTTTACCGCGGTCGTCGCAGGGGGTAGCATATATACATATATATATATATACAGATCTACCTATCTGTTCTTATTATACGTCATATACTATAACACATTATGCATATATATATACACACACATGATTGCACTTTCTTTTTGTTTTACATCAAACTGTTTAAACAAAATGTTGATTATGAATTTGCGGTTTCTTGTTTTATATTCTTCATCATATATTATTTCCGAGTTAATGTATACAAGTTGGTAATTCTGCATAATTTGTGTGTTTTGCATCTTAATCATATGTCATATATCATATACCAAACCTTTGTTGCACATGCTTTACATGTCATTTAAGTATCATAGCTTATACATTTTGTTTTTTAAAATTATATATTATATCGAGAGTGCGTCCGCCAGTCATAAATTTCAAATGCGATGGTTGGATCTTTCCAAAAAATGTGTAAACTCAAAAGCTGCATGGCCGGTGATAAACTCAACCATACCATAGAGATTTGGGCTTCTGCTACCAAGCCAGAAATTCAAAGCATTCGGATGCGCAGCCGTTTATTTCATGTGTCGCAACCCGTGTCTCAAGGTTGTCATCCATGTTGTTTGTCAAGGTTTTTATTTTGACGTCTTAATAATTGAGACCGAAATGCTATATTTACGGATCGCGATGCCCCCATCGTCCCCAAAGTTTGGATCATAATAGTTCTGTCATCTATCAGCTAGTATCAGGGTTGCTTTTTTTTGGTGGTTTCCGCCATTCGTTTCTGATATTTCATGTTTCGGTTGTCTCTTGAAAAGCGCGAACAAATGAGCGTTTTTCGCCCGAGGCACAAACCCTGTAACGGGGTGACACCGGTCTTCAAAACTTTAAACCCCAAGGCTCCTATGAATTCGCATATTTGTATGCACCTATCTGAAGGCTGACCTACTACCAAAAATGCTAGATGTCACTACAATATCAGTAGTTTTCCAGTATTTTTAGACATAACATGATCATGATATAACATTTGTAGCTATATATAGGCCGCATGAGTATATATATATATATATGCATGAGGGCTCAAGAATTGTCTAAATGTACAATATCATTAAACATATGTGTATATATATATATACATTTATATCTATATATCCGTTGTCACTATGTATACTCGCACAGACTCTCAGAGCTTAGATGCATGGTACATATATAAACGAACACACATGCGCTTTCACCTGGTATTTCAGTCTGTATGTACACCT